TTGTCTCTTTTCATTCAAAAGATTTGTTCATTTGGCTCTCTCATTCGTTCATTCAATAGTACTTCAAGAAAGATCGAGATGTTGCTGAGTTCATAGTTTGTTCTACCAGGGTGCAGTTTTCGCTGCAGCCGCTAGTTCTTCTGCTGTATCTGCTAAACTGTGAGCAAATAATAAATAACCATAATGATTACTTTCGTTTATAATAATCACTAATGCAGATGTTGTATTGTTGCATCCTACTCAAGGACAATATTACATAACACTATATCTCTGTCATGGTAACACAATATTTTTCAGTTTCTCTGTTTACATTACAGTTATTTTTAGCTGATGTTTTTATCCAAAGCAACTTACAGTTGATTGGGCTAACCGAGGGCCAATCACTCCTGGGAGTAATGCTGGGTTAAGGGCCTTGCTCAAGAGCCCAACAGCAATGGTGTTCTTGCTGTGGCTGGATTGGGGCTTGGGCCAGCAACCTTGGGGGTCCCAGTCATGTACCTTAGCCACTAGACTACAGGCTACCCTATTTCTCTCCAGATAACAGACAACATTATTACTTAACATACGTATGTCATAACATCAGCTATGGCATTAATAAACATTTTATAGTCCATAGCTTAATTTCTGGTTCCACAAGAAATTGTATGAGAAGTTGTTACTTAAGAAATCTAACATATACCAAAATTACATAATAAGTAATGTTAAATTATCTTATTAATGAGGAAACAAAGCATTAATTCAAATAATATGATACACTTAGTTTCACTTTTTGAAATTATTTTAATTGCTTTTATTACATAACTGGCTCCAGTATTAAGCTACAGAACAGTTTAATGACAAACATAATTTTGCTAAATATTATCTGTGAAAGCCTAATAATTCCTCAGGTCCAAGGAATGTGCACTGAGCTGCCTGTTAACGGCATTACATTCAGACTCTACTGCTCTGAACAGTCAGTTCAGACCGGTTCATGGCTCTCGTTCGCTGGCTCTGCTGGCTTTCTTGTTCATGGCTCTCTCATTCATGGCTCTCGTTCACTGGCTCTGCTGACTCTCGTTCTCTGGCTGTCTGTCTGCGTTGCCCCTTTTGTTCACTTCTCATTCATTGGTTTCTTTTGTTCGTTGGCTTCTTTCATTCGTTCACATTCACTTCTCATTTGCCTGCCCTGCTGATGTATGTACGTTCATTTGCAGCTGCTTGATTGGCTTTTCAGTAAACCTATCAGCCTTCACACATACAGTCTTGATAAATTGCTATTGGACACTGTGTAAATCACTAAAATCATTGTATTAGTCTAGAGCAGTAAGATGAGAGATGAGCAAGCATTGATGGCGTTGATGGAAATCTCAGGGCTAGCAGAGAGAGCCAAATGAACAAATCTTTGACGGTGAGGACTCAGGTGAGTTCGTTCATTTGAAAGATTTGTTCGTTCGCGAACCACCCATCACTATTTCTGATTAAGTGTTTTGTAACTACATCTTGAGGATTATTTGCTTCATATGCAGAAAATGATGGGGAAAAGAGTAGATACAGACTGACTTTTTCACCCATGGTTGCAACATTTTAATCTTGGCAACTGATTTGCGAAGTTGCCACAAAACTTTAAATCTTAGCCCCTTGAGCCTCTTTTCACAAGTCATTTAAATTATTATGGATTTTTTGTGAATTTGTCTTACTACTTTGTAGACATCACTGACCATTTATAACAAAAAAGGACAAGAAAGTTTGAATCTTCAGCAATCTGAGGTGAGCAGCTATTGTGTGAAGTAGCCTAACATTGCAAACTGTCATCTCTGTAGCCACTTAGCCTGCTCTGTTTTTGTTTTCATTTTGTAAAATGCTTGTTTTCATCTTGCGTGTCATTTTATCCCTGCCCACTGTTTCCATACCTGTTAGTTGATTGCCAATTTGTTTCACCTGCTCTGTTTGTTCACCTGTGTCTCATTTCTTGTTAGTCTGTGTATTTATACCCTGTTCTTTCGTTTGTTTGTTGCCACTTCATCTCAGTGCCTTGTCCTGTTTCGCAACCCTTCTTGTTTCTGTGTTTGGCCTACCTGTTTCTGATTCCTGTTCTTGTTTTTGACTCCAATTTCTGGATTGTCTTTTGGATCATTTCTGAGTTTTTCTGGTTTTGACTTTTGCCTGCTTGTTTACCTCTCTGCTTTCAGACTGTGATTTTGTGCTGTTGCTGTGTCTCCCTGGTTTTGACCCTGCCTGTCCCCGACAACAATTTTTGGTTTTCGAGGCTGCTTAATAAACATTTGTTTATTATTCATCTCTGTCTGCGAGTGAGTCCCTGCCTGAGTCGTGACAGTACAAACTGGCCCTTATTATGGACTCAGCGGATGGCAGCCAATGGCAGTCAGTTTTGGAACATCAGGGAGTTTTACTCGGCAGACTTCAGAGCCAACTGGAGTCAGTTAACAAAACCCTGGAATCCTTTGTGGTGAGCATGAGCACCCTCTCTGAGCAGCTCTAGTCGGTACAGGAGGTTACTGCAGCGTCCCTAGCGCTGGCTCCACTTCCACCCTCCACCCTGCCCACTTAAGAGCCACATCTGCTTCCTCCTGAACCCTATGGCGGCAAACCTGGGACCTGCCACTCCTTCCTAACTCAGGTTTTTAAATTCCAGCCATCCCCTTTCCCTACGGACTGAGCAAGGATTGTTTACATCATCACCCTGCTCAACGGGTGAGCCAGAGAGTGGGGAATAGCCATCACTCACCTGTTTGTGCTTCATATGCCTCCTTCTGCGATGAGATGAAGCGGGTCTTTGACCATTCCAGGCACGGGAGAGAAGTGGCTAGAGAGATGTTGTAGATCCGGCAGGGGAGGGGATTATGCCTCTGATTATGGGTGTTTTCCACACCCTCGCTGCGACCAGTGGATGGGACCAAGAGGCCCAATTTGACACCTTCCTTCACAGACTCTCAAAGGAGATCAAGGATGAGCTCGTAACCGGTGACCTGCCTGCTGGATTCGATACCCTGGTCGACCTCGCCATCTGTATCGACCACTGTCTGACTGCTCGGTGTACAGAATGAGCCAATTCCCGCTGACGGACGGGTGAGTGCCTCCAGCCCTCTCATCCTCCTCTGATGTCTTCTGCCACTGTTCCTCAGCCAGCCGAGCGCATGCATATTGACTGCACTCGCCTCACTCCTGCGGAGTCCGTACTGCAGCAATGCTGGACAATTTGTCTCCACCTGGCCGTTAAAAGCCAGTAGTCACCTGTAGCAGGTGAAGTACAGGTGAGCGTAACCCCTCTGCAAAATTCCCCAGCTGTTTGTCCCTTGCTGTCTGCCTCCCTGTTTGTATACGGTTGTCCTCAGGTGGTGTCGGTGTTGATCGACTCTGGAGCAGATGGCAACTTCATTGATGCTAGTTACTTGCCTCAGGCTCCCACAGGTTCCTCTCCAAACGCCTCTTGATGCTCTTGCAATCACAGGCATGCCTCTCATGAGGATCACTCACATCACACCCCCGTGAGTTTACTGCTATCGGGCAATCATTGAGAGGAAATAGTTCTCCACATAACTCGACACTCCTCATGCACAACTGGTTTTGGGACACCCCTGGCTAAGCAAACACAATCCCTGGGTAGATTGTCAGCAGAACAGAGTGTTGTTGTGATGAGTCAGTTCTGTCTGTCTCACTGTCATAGAGATGCCCAGATACCTGTCTCCTCAGCCTCTGCGTCCTCTGAGGATTTCCTGGATCTGTCTGCCGTTCCTCTGGAATAACTGGATCTTAAGGAGGTTATCAGTAAGGCTGCCTCCCTGCTGCCTCACCACCTATCCTTAGGTCACCGATTCAAATCTGGCTCGAAGGAGTGTCCTTTTATTCCCATCAACCGGCAAAACCCACTGCTGGTTGAATGGCAAAGGGGCTGACGATGTCACGGCAAACGCTCATCCTACCCAACGGATGCACTTGGCCCAGGGGTGCTGGCCCAGCGGCTGCAAATGTGAGCTGCAAAGTATATCCTCTTTTCCCCCAAAATCACCTCTTCTCCTCCTCCTCTCCAAAACTTCGACATTGGAGTGAGGGGGGAGACAAGGTAATAGAGGAGGAGACGAGGATATACATTTTGAGTCTTGGAACACAAACCCTGCGTGTGCTTTCTCCTGCGCTATGATCTGCCGACACACACACACACACTCATACACATAAAAAAAACTGGGCAATCCATTGAAATCTGAAAGCTTTTGCACTGCCTTTTCAGTCTTATTTTTAACCTTGGCTAAAAGACTTATTCCTCAGAAACAGGAAACGAAATAAATCACGGTGGTTCTTGGGAAGCCAAAAGGCAAGGTGTTCCTGCATGCAAGGTGTACGCCGTGATTTATTTTTCTTTTCCTGTTACACTGGTTTAGACTGAAAAGGCAGTGTAAAAGCTTTCAGATTTCAATGGATTGCCTAGAAGCTGCTGCCTTTTTTTTTTTTTGTGTGTGTTTGTGTGTTTGTAGGTAGATCATGGCGCAGGAGAAAGCACACACGGGGTGCATTCCAATACTCAAAATGTTTATCCTCCGCGATCACCTTGTCTCCTCCCTCACTTCAATGTCCAAATGTTGGAGAGAGGGAGGAGACGAGGTGATGGTGGAGGAAAAGAGGACACACATTGCAAATATCAGCACGCACCCATGGCATGGCTGCGCAGCTCACATCCGCAGCCACTGGGCCAGCATCTACGGGCCACGTGCATCCATTGGGTAGGATGAGTGTTTGCCGTCACATCGTCAGCCCCTTTGCCATTCAACCAGCAGTGGGTATTGCTGGTTGATGGGAATAAAAGGACACTCCTTTTACCTACAGTCTTCCGCTCTACCAACTGAGCTATCGAAGGCAGGTGTGACTGGGCCCTTGTTGCTAGTTTTCACCGTAGTCCCTTTAGCAGCTCAACGCTACACTTTTTTGCCTGGTTTTTTTTTTTTGTTTTTTTCTTCTTCCTGATGCTGTTGGAAAAAAATTGGAGGCAAGTGAACAGCCCTCATACAGCAAGAGTAGTGTAGGGGCATCATGCAAGGTTCTCATTCTTGCAACCTGGATTCGAATCCCAGCTAGCGCAACGCACCCCCTGCATCCTGAGAGATGACACTGTTGACCTTTTCAAGGAATCGCTCGGTCTGGCCACTGCATCTCTTGCAAAGTTCACAGCCGTGGCATGCAATGTCCTTGCTGTGCCTGGTGTGTGCCTCTTGCACCTCTCTTCTTCTCAATTATTTAATGCTCATTTTGCATGAGCACACCACCCATAAATTAATTCCCAGCTTCCCTCCCTGGTGGTCTAGTGGTTAGGATTCGGTGCTCTCACCGCCGCGGCCCGGGTTTCATTCGCGGTCAGGGAAAATGTTTTGAGTCTCTGTGCACTCTGCCCTGGCTGTCCTTGCGGATGTGCTCGCAACTCCCACCTCACTTGGCGGACAGGAGTGCACCCCTTGCGCGGGATCCTGGGCCCCACCCCCCCCACAACCCCAGCGGCAAGAAGAGGGGTGCAGTGGAAAGCGAAGCTCTGCCCATCCAATTACTCCCACGTACGCTACACAGGACAGTGTATGGAGCTCCTGGATGTGTTTCATTCCGTGTGGGCCAAAGTCTGACCACACCTAAGACGTGGTTTCATAAAGCAAGCAAGCAAGCCAGATTCACTGCATGATGTTCACAGGAGATTGCTGGCAAAATGGCTTTCATAGAGCTGGTGTCCTTGCACACTGAGCCATTTGCACCTCTCGGAGTGGCGATTATCTCGGCAGTACGGTAATTTTTTTTTGAGTCCTTGCTCACAGAGGCATCTCTCTGAGAACATTGGCCAGAATATGACATCAATTGCCTATGAATTTTAGTTATTTTTAGCAGACACACTTTTCACTAATGTTTATAGAAAAACTATGCATAAAACACAATCATTTTGACCTCCAACTCTATTTTGCTGTTTTATTGCATGACTTGATGTATACACTTTTTTAATTTGATGGCCTTGAGCATGTCCTGGTACGACTGTTTCCAGAAGTTTGCCACTTGATCAGACCCAAAGGCGATCTGGTGGAGCTGGCCCTTAATCAGTCCAGCATCAGGTAAGACATCTATCTGCCGTCTGTCAATACATTCAATATAACAGTTAGGTGGGTATCAAGCACAAAGAGTAGGTTAAAAATAAATCAAAGCCAGTTAGAAGATGGTGCACAACCCATTGGAGTGGTAAGCAGAAGGGGGTGTGGCACCACAGTCTGAAGCTGAAGATGATGTAACAGCGTAAAGCAGGCAACAATAGAACAGTCCGGTAAATTCAAAACCAACCAGCATAAGAATGCATATGTGACAGCACAAACATCTACAGCAAATACAGCATCGTCCAGACGCATGGATGACAGCCAAAGTAGTGCTTTCCAAGCTGATATTGCTGATCCCTTAGCCAAATGCAGTCCTAAATCTCAACATGGGTGTGGGGACTTCATATCCTAAGTGGACGTAGTTTTAAGCAACAACCACTTGAAAATAAGGAGAAACCTCAGAGACTGGCTGTGTGATGTTCTGCTACCACTTGCATGATCACTCTGCCTGTGCTGAAGACAAAAATAACCGTAAGCAATTTGATGTGGAATTGTGTATAGAGGATGACCTGCATCTAGTAACTAGTCTATTCTTGAACCGTAACTCTTTAGTTAACACATACCAGATCACAAAACAGCCACAATATTCAGCATGGCTAACTTTCCAAATCCTCCATGAAGGAGCTGAGCAGGGTGTCCAGCTCGTCCATAAAGTTTCCCAGAGGCCCTGGGGGGATGACAGATGACAGCAATAAAGGGTTTAGCAGGATAAGTGATGTTAACAGAGTGGTATTCAAAGGTAAAAGGTGTAAGAATCCCACGACACACACATAGGACAGCTGCACCCAGTACTCACCTATACACTTGTGCCATTGGAAGAGACACACAGCATCCTTGCACGTCCAACAAAGCATTTGTGGGTGATTCCAGGAGAGAATAAGGAAAAAACATGGGGACACTGAGTGTAATGATTATCAGCATGTAGACCTTACTAAATTAAGACTGTGTCAGCAATGTGCTGCTGTGGGGGCTGAGCTGCGTGCGCTACTATGCAGATGGTGCGATAAGCACAGCGGATTACCAAAGCCTGAGCCAGCTCCTCACCCCAGCATTCCTCCCTCACTGTTGTGGTGGGCTCCACTCCTTGCTGTCTGTATCTGAAACTATGGTGGGGACTGAGAGTGGGAGGGAGGGCCATTAGAACCTTATCAGTGTTTTTATATTCTATAAATTTGACCAATTTGCTTAACATAACCATTAAAACATATTCCATGGCATTTGCATCAGGTTGCTAAGATCCGACAATGCCAAGCATGAACTACCAACCAGAATTTTGCTTTTATCAGTCGCAAACAGGTTCCCCATCAACCACAAGGGGTCACTAGCCCGCAATGGTTATTTGTCTCACTGCTTACAAAACAGCCAAATGACTGCCATCCATAAACAAAAACTACTCACCCAGCAGCTCCTTTTCATTTGCTTCTGTTTTGCATTTCCTCTAATTTTAAATGTTCAGTTGCATTAGTGGGCCCATCTTCATCATTTCAACAAACATAAAAAAATTTTGACACACAAGACATGAATTCCCCCTGCATTGGTTACCAGACCAGGGGGATTGCAATACTCCCTGTAACCCAGCTTCAGCAGGACAGCTGGAGCCAGGGGTGGAGCTGCAGCTGTCCCAGGGTGGGCCGGTCCTCTGCGCTGGGTCTAAGGCAGCGCAGGATGAAGTCCCTCAGCCCTGTTGCAGAGACACCAAAAACATGTGATTACTCAAAGAAGACAATGGGGAGTGTCCACACACAGCCCCTCCCCCTCCTGAAGGCTCTTTACCTGCTGACAGTCCTGCAGGTAAATTCACCTCCTGCATCCTCTCGGGGGTGAAGGTGGTGAACGGAAGCTGGCCACAGACCATCTCATAGACCGTGACTCCTACAGACCACACAGTTCCAGGGCCTGCCAGGAACTTCTCCTCCTTGAACCACTCCAGGGGCTGGTAGCACTCAGTCCCTGATAGACAGACACATTGTGTCATGTCATAAATACTTCCCACAGCTTGGCATCCAGGGTATTTTTTGATGTATTTACGAGTAATGGTTGAAATGAAGTTTCATAAACCCTATTAGGGTGGAGCTCTACTCAGTTGTCAACCTGTTTAAACCAATCAGACTATTTTCCTGTATGTAATTTCCTCACACTGACCAGAGAATTCCGTGTATGGAGTGTCCTTCAGTAGATCCCCACACCCAAAGTCGATCAGTTTGATGTCTTTTGTTTCAGTCTGTATCAGGATGTTCTCAGGCTTCACATCCCGGTGCACAATCCTGCTGTCCTCACAGTGCTGCAGTGCCCCCAGCAGCTGGCGCGTGATATTTGATGCCTCATCCTCATTAAGGACGCCCCCCTGATCCTGGCAGTAGGAATAGAGGTCCTTGCAGGGGTTGGGGCGCTCCATCGCCATGACGTAGGATGATGGCCTGTCAAACCAATCATGAAGCTTGAGGATGTTGGGGTGAGATGACTGGTTGTTCACAGTCTTTATCAGCCCCACCTCCCTGGGCATGGGTCCTTCAAGTCCAGGCTGTGGAGAGAAAAGGGCAGAAAGTGTGTTGAGAGCTGATATGCACTCACTCAGAATGCCATCACTAAGATGTAGCAGCACACCAAAGCATGTCATAGCATAGCTGGCTCAGTCAGTAGGTAATGAGCTAAATGCCTGAAAAGGCTTTTTTTCCAGTTGTTGGTTGATAGATTTCCTTTCACATTTCCAATTCTCTCTGACTGCTATTCTGACTCACGGTGCACCTTTAACTTGGGCTTCCATAAATTATGAGGTACTTACCAGCTCAATTTCATCATCATCACATTTCCGTACGTATTTCAGGGCCACCTAAGGAAAATATGGGGTATGTGAGAAAAGTCTAATGCAACACTGAGAAATGCATTATGGCTTCATGATGATAAACAACAAGAACAAATGATCTTGTGCATCATAACTGGTTTACCATTTTACAAAAAGTGATAAGAGATTTTACAACAGGATACAATGAAACAACCAAATGTCATTAAAAAGATGAATAACCAGCTTTGGACAGATTAAGCTAAGGGAAAGAATAAAATGACAACAGTGGTAGTTTTCATATTGACTGGCTACTTACAGACAGGCCATCTGATTTGCGGGTCCCCGCATAGACGGAACCAAATCCTCCGCGTCCAAGTAATTCGCCTTTCTTGTAGAAGTTGTCTACGCGTGCTAAAACACAGAACAGAAACTATTATTACTGAGATGTACTGCTTGCTCTGTTACCATATCAGTGTTTGTCTGCCCCCTAGTATGTGAAAGTGAGTATGGAATATGAAGCATTATTTCATTACATCATGCCCAGTTATACAACAATGAGTCTAAATCTCAATTCATATAATTTCTGTAATACTGTATGATGAGTTAAGGTGGCTGTAAACAGACCATTGTACTTCCAACAGAAAATTGCAATGGAAAGTAGCAATGCATTTATGACTTATTTATGAATGTTACATACAATAAAGCAATTGAGTCTATCTGCCCATTAGAAAGCAGTGTGGCTCATCAGTATAGCCTGATTTCAGTGTTATAACCCTAACCTTTGCGAATGCCTTTGACATGTCTGGCCTTGAGATGGGATGGTTTGTCTCCATAGATCTTGGGGCTCTTTTGTTGTGGCTCCTCCAAACAGGCCTGCAATGACCTTTTCAGCTCTAAATTCTCAGGCACCTCTATGTTGGCTTGCTCTGCTTTCCTCTTTGGGGCTGAAAACAACACACATCACCAAATGTCTGCAGCACGTTCTACATTTCACAACTCTTTCAGATTTACTGCAGCAGAATACAGAATATTATACTGGCTAATTTCATACAATACATTTAAAAAACTTGTAAAATGATTTCCTTTTCAGTTGAGAAACATGAAGATTCATGAATACAAAGTAACGTAGAAAATTCCAGTAAAATTTCAGTGAAAACTGAAAATCAAGACCACTGC